GGACATCCGTTGTTCTATGAAGTCTCAGACAAGTACTATGCTTTTTTCGTGCTATATTGCAAGTTATTTTTCATTGCATCTTCTCCATACTCAAAAAGAACAGGGAGAAGAGGCATAACAAGTTTCAGTGAAATGGCCCGCATAAAGAACAACTCTGCTAAGGTCAAGATTTTTGAACGCACCTCATGTGTAATTCTTATAAGCAATATATTGAACATGGAAAGCATATTTAGCTTGAAACTTACGATAAAAGTTCAAGTAGTGTTAAGAGTGATTCATTTTAGCATGGCCACTCATAATCTAGATCAAGATCTCGCGTCTCTCACCATTATCACGAAATAAAAATCGACAAGTGTGCTTGAGGAACATCTTAAGCTTACGATGGAAGCAGTGAATCGACAAGTTATGGTTGGTAAAACAATCCTCAATGACTGGAATCATTTCAAAGGCGACCCTACTTTATTGCTGGGGGAGCCAAGAGAACGGATTCTCCTCATCAATCGTCTTCTCCGCGCTGCCGGAATAGCCAGGGAGAAATATCTCGCTCTTTGCACCCGTTATACATTGATCTACAAGTTCTATTACGTACCATGGAGAAGCGAGAAAAGAAAAGCCGGACAAATAGAGGCGATCGATGATGAAATGTTAATGAAAATGGACTGTCAAACAAAAACTATAGATTCCCTCATTATCAAGTTGGAAAAAAAGAAGGAAAAATAGAAAAGGACCTCCGTAAGTCAGTTGGTGTAAACGTGGAACTACAGAAACGCAATATACAGCCCCTTCAGAACAAACTAATGGAGAAAGAAAAGGAAAATTAGAGCTGAAAGTAAAGATCAGTTGTTGGAAATTGCAAGTGCGCCCGATTAGCAAAGAAGCAACATCATGAACGGAAGATGCGGTAAAGGACGATTGCGACATGCAGACAGCGATGCATAACGAAGAAGAAGAAGTAGAGTACAATGAGATTTTAGATGTAAACGAGTTAGTCGTAAGCGAAGAAATTTATGTAGATGAGGAAAGCGAGTACGAGTACCCAGATGACGAAGCATACTTCAATAAGATGGTGAACGAAGTAAAAGAGGTAAAAGCTGTCGAACACACGCTAAAACCAAGGGTCCAACAAGAAAATACCCACGAAGATTGTGTACTTCGAAACAGGCACCAAGAAATGGAGAAAAAGGAAGCTAGATGCAGACGAATATTGGATGACATCCAGGAAATGGAAGAGATCCTACAAGTATTTCCATTTAGGAAATCAGGAGAGACATCAACAGGTGTCGCAGTGGAAGTTCGATGTGCTCTCTGTAAAGCAGAAGGTATACACTTCTCCGATTCCTGTCCTATAGTCACCGACGGAGACGCGCGTTACAA